TTTTTTTAGTACTATTAACTTGACAAATTATGCTGTGGAAATGTGTCCACCTTGCAAGGTAGACACAGTTTAAAAATTGTTCATAATTATGAATATATAGTTCAAAAATTAGGAACATATAGTTCTATAATTATGAACATAGTGTTGTGAACATAATTATGAACATATAATTATGTAATTATGAATATAGAGATTCAATAATTGTGAATATGAAGTTCAAAAATTATTAATATATATATATATATATATATATATATATATATATATATTTATAATTATGAACATATAATTCAGTAACTATGAACATAAAGTTCTGTAATTATGAATATAGAGTTCAATAATTATGAATATTAAGTTCAAAGATTATGAATATATAACTTTATAAAAATGAACATATAGTTCAGTAATTATGAACATAGAACTGTGTTACACATTGCAAGGTGGACACGGTTCCACAACATAACTATTCGATTGAACCTGTTACATGTAAACTTTCTCAACCTATTGAAGCCGTCAAAATGCTTTTATTTAAGAAATCTTATCTTAATGACTTATTATTTTAGTTTTTTTTTTTTTTTTTTTTTAAATGTATTAGGGGGTTTGAGAAAGATTAACCCAAAATGTATATGAGTTGTTTTAGTTTTTAGGAGGTTGGAGCAAATTGCTAAGTTATTAAATAATATTTTTGGTGTTTTGATTAAATATAAAATGTTAAACAGACGAATTTCTCAAAATTTTGGCGAGTTTGCCAAATTATCAAATTACAATAACAACAACAACAACAATAATAATAATAATAACAACAACAACAACAGTAACAACAACAACAATAATAACAACAACAACAACAACAACAACAACAATAATAATAATAATAATAATAATAATAATAATAATAATAATCCAAACAAAACTATATACAAAATAAAATTAAAATTAAAAAAAAAAAAAAAAGACAAATGGGAGTTACGGGCTCCCTAAGTCTCTTTGTAAATGATGTTGGATCATTTTGATCCCACATTGAAAATGTTTGGAAAGAAGAGCTCTTGAGCTCCTCTTGCAAACATAATTGTTTGACCATCAATGTGGGCAAATATTGAGAAGTCAAAATTTTCAATGCTCCTCTTACAAACATAATTGTTTGACCATAATATTTTTGGTGTTTTGATTAACTATAAAATGTTAAACATGCGAATTTCTTAAAATTTTGGCGAATTTGTCAAATAATCAAATTACAATAACAACAACAACAACAACAAATAATAATAATAATCTAAACAAAACTATATACAAAATAAAATTAAAATTAACAAAAAAAATAAAGAAGAAGAAGACAAAGGGGAGCCACGGGCTCCCAGTGTAAATGATGTGGAATCACACATTGAAAATGTTTTAATTATTGAAAATGTTTCAATTATTTGTCCATCGATGTGGCAAGTATTGAGAAGTTAAAAGATTCTTATTTAAGAAACCTTAGCTTTGTCTTCTTATTTTAGTTTTTATTTATTATTTATTATTTATTATTTATTATTTATTATTAGTGGGGGTTGGGAAAGATTAACCCAAAATATATGTGTTGTTTTAGTTTTAGCAGGAGCAAATTACTGAGTTATTAAATAATATTTTTGGTGTTTTGATTAAAGATAAATTGTTAAAATGATGAATTCGTTAAAATTTAACGAATTTGTCAATAATAATAATAATAATAATAATAATAATAATAATAATAATAATAATAATAATAATAATAATAATAATAATAATAATAATCCAAACAAAGCTATATACAAAATAAAATTAAATTTTTTTAATAAAAAAAAAAAAAGACAAATGGGAGTCACAGATCCCTTTGTAAATGATGTATGATCATTTTGATCACACATTCAAAATGTTTAAAAAGAGAGAGCTCCTCTATATAAGAGAAGTAATGATCCTCTTACAAACATAATTGTTTGCACATCAATGTGGGCAAGTATTGAGGTGAAAGTTGGAAAGAAGTATTGAGAAGTCAAAATGTTCTTATTTATTTATTATTAATGGGGGGTTATGAAAGATTAACCCAATATGTATATGTTGTATTAGTTTTTAGCAATTTCGAGCAAATTACTGAGTTATTATATAATTCTTTTTGGTGTTTTAATTAATGTTGAAATGTTAAAATGACGAATTTGTTAAAATTTTGGCGAATTTATCAATAATCAAATTACAATGATAATAATAATAATAATAATAATAATAATAATAATAATAATAATAATAATAATAATAATAATAATAATAATAATAATAATAATAATAATAATAATAATAATAATAATAATAATCCAAACAAAACGATATACAAAATAAAATTAAAAATAATAAGAAGAAGACAAAAGGGAGCCACGGGCTCCCTTTGTAAATGATGTTGGATCATTTTGATCCCACATTGAAAATGTTTGGAAAGAAGAGCTCTTGAGCACCTCTATATAAGAGGAGCAATGCTCCTCTTGCAAACATAATTGTTTGACCATCAATGTGGGCAAGTATTGAGAAGTCAAAATTTTCAATGCTCATCTTACAAACATAATTGTTTGACCATAATATTTTTGGTGTTTTGATTAAATATAAAATGTTAAACATGCGAATTTCTTAAAATTTTGGTGAATTTGTCAAATAATCAAATTACAATAACAACAACAATAATATTAATCTAAACAAAACTATATGCAAAATAAAATTAAAATTAACAAAAAATATAAAGAACAAGAAGACAAAGGGAAGTCACGGGCTCCCAGTGTAAAAAGAGGTACAAACATAATTATTTGTCCATCGATGTGACAAGTATTGAGAAGTCAAAAGATTCTTATTTAAGAAACCTTAGTTTTGTCTTTTTATTTTAGTTTTTATTTATTTATTTATTAGTAGTGGGGATGAGGAAAGATTAACCCAAAATGTATGTGTTGTTTTAGTTTTTAGCAGTTTTGAGCAAATTATTGAGTTATTAAATAATATTTTTGATATTTTGATTAAAGATAAATTGTTAAAATGACGAATTCGTTAAAATTTTGACGAATTTGTCAATAATCAATCAATTAATAATAATAATAATAATAATAATAATAATAATAATAATAATAATAATAATAATAATAATAATAATAACCCAAACAAAATGATATACGAAATAAAATTAAAAAAAAAAAAAAAAGACAGAAGGGAGCGGGCTCCCATTTGTAAATGATGTGGGATCATTTTGATCTCACTTTGAAAATGTTTGGAAAGATGATTTCTTGATCTCACTTACAAACATAATTGCAGTATTGAGAAGTTCAACGTTTTTTTTTTTTTTTTTTTTTTTTTGGAGGAAAGGAAAATTAAAAATAGAAAGGAAATATTTCAATAATAATATTTTACATAATCAAATAGTAAATGCATATTTTAAAAAATAGTAAAGGTAAATTAAAAATGGAACGAAAATATTTCATTAATAATATTCTACGTCATCAAATTAAAATGGAACGGAAATTAGGTAAAAATATCATTGCATCTATATTCTAATTGACTAATTTACTGAAAATAAAAAATAATAATTGACTAAAAAATGAATCTAATATTACTAATTGACTGAAATATAAAAGGAAATGAATATTAATAATTGACTGCAAATAAAAAAATGATCCATAATTGACTAAATAAATGGTTTGATCATTGCATTTTAATTTAAAATGCAATGAAAATTAAAAATTGGAGGAAAATATTTTAGTAATAGTAATTTACATTATCAATAGTAAATGCATATTTTAAACAATAGTAAAGTTGAATTAAAAATGGAACGGTAATATTTCAATAATAATATCTACATCATCAATTAAAAATGGAACGAAAATTAGGTAAAAATATCACTGAATTTGATATTCTAATTTACTGAAAATAAAAAAGAATAATAATTGGCTGAAAATGAATCTGATATTACTAATTGACTGAAAATATAAAATGATAACTAATTGAGTGATATTTTACCATTATATATTTTCACCTAAGTAACCCGTTTTGCTGGATTGAAGGTGTTAGCTCTAGACGAAAATGAACAAGATTGTGTTGCCACTAACAATGTCGTCTACAAAGAGGTTTCAATAATGTGTAAATATAATCGGTGATATTAAGTTTTTTTTTTTAAATGAAAAAATTGCTAGACAAAAAAATATATCTTCCATACAAATGAATAATGATAGCAATTAATTTCTATAACTGAGTTGTTAGAGAACGAGCACATTTGCCTAATTTACGAAAATACTAAACAATGATAAATAAAATCTTCAAAGTTATAGCACCGCATGCGTACATCTAGACATTAGCTATTAATTTGAGCAATTATTTGCACAAATACAAGCAATGATAACATCAAACTATATAAACGATCCAAATCATATTTTTAATTGCACTATATAATATTTCCAAATCATATCTTTAATTGCACTATATAATATTTGATGTTCTAATTTAAATAATTATATATCGATTCATATATTATTCTTAATATATTACAACAAATTCATTCCGTGCATCGCACGGGTGCAAATACTAGTCTCTTATTATAATAAAGCAACAACTTTCTACCCAAAAAAATTCCCGCTCAATGCAAACGACGTCACTTTGTATATAAGAGATTAAGGTCGAAACTAAATGCTGTTAACTAATGCTTAACGCGTGATCATTAATTATGCCGCCTACTTTTTTGTTAATATCAACCACAATAAAGCAATTTTAATAGAATTTAAATAGAATTCTATTAATTACATACTTCTAAAGAGACTGTTTAGATTAAACACTACTTCGAAAATATACATCTCAAATCTAGATAAAATCAATATAAATACAATTATAATAAAGAAACTCAATGATCTAATGTCTGATCCCCATGCGTTTGGAAACTGTAAGGTCGCCCGCTTACATTCATAGTTCCAAGACACATCATAGATTTTGAATTGCAGTTCTCCATTCTATATAAACCGATCACTATGGAGACCTCCACTACCTATTCCACATTTGCTTCAGTTCGTATCACCTGTGAACCAGAGAAAAAGAAACAAATTATTTGCAAGATAACCATGCCAATGTATGTAGCTGTGAAGGATATTGGTCCTCTTGATAGGGAGAAAACAATCAGAGTAAAATGTGTACGGTGTTACGAAATCTATGAAAAAGGCTCTACAGAGATTAAGAGTCGAGAAGTTTTGTTGTGTGATGCAGAGGTATGATCTTCCCTTTTTGATATTGTATTCTTCTGTTCACTGTAGATAGATATACCGCCACGTATTTACATGTCTCTAGCAATAATGGATTTCCTTATGGTAGGTTTTTGTTCTATTATTCAAAGCTTGTGTTGATTTTTAATGCCTTTGCTCTACTCAGTTATATGCTCTAGATTAATACATGCACTATAAACAGATTTATAGTCTCTTTTACAGAGATTTATTTTTCACCAAAATCTAGAGTATATACTGTTTTTTATCTAGACTGCTTAAGGTTATTCTTACTCTAAATCTAGAGTCTATACAGTTTTTTTGTCTACACTGTTTAAGGTTAATGTTATGCTAATGTTGCAGGGCTCTTTCATCCATTTGAACCTCCAAAGTAATGATGTCAAAAAATACAACAATGTTTTCCAAGAAGGGAAGCTGTATTCAGTCAAAAATTTTGTTGTTTTCACCCATTACTATATGTACAAAACTTGTGATCACAAATATATGATCAGGCTAAACTCTAAGACTCAGGTAAAGGCCATAAAATCCAAAGGTTTCCCTACTAAGATGTTCCAGCTTAAAAGTTTTGACTCTTTGAAAGACCCTACTCAGGTGAATGACAAGGTGCTGTTTGGTAAGTAAGCTGTTTTTAATTTTGCTCATTTTGTCTACTGTGTAAGATGTTTCTACTTCAAGACTTTTTGAATTCTGCTCATGTTGTATACTGTCTAAGCTGTTTTTATTTCAAAAAGTTTTATTCTTCTATTTTGTGATGAAATAGATTTAATAGGCAGAGTTGTAGAGATCCATGCTCCTGTAGACAAAATAATAGGGGGTAGACCAGCCAAACTCCTAGACTTCAAAATGGCTGATAATGAGTAAGTTTCAATTTAAAAAATTGGTACCTATATTTCCATAGATTATATTTTCTCTAACACACTTTGCTATAGGGGTAATTTCTTGCAGTGCACTGTGTGGGACTCTCATGTTGGTGCCATGCTACCATACTATGATTCAGGTCTTAAAGAACCATTAATTCTGGTTCTTCAGCTATGTCGGGCAAAGGTGGTCAATGGTGAGTTAATATACAGTATTATTCTTTCATTTATTTATATATTTCCATAGTTCATTGCCATCTAACATGCAAAATTAGGTGAAGTCAGAATAACTAGCTGCTATGATGCTACCCAACTCCATTTCAATGCATCTTTCCAAGAATTTGCTGATTTTAGGTCTCAGTAAGTGCCTGGATTTTTTTCCTAAATTATACATTTTATCAACTATTCTACTACACATGAATAAAAATTTGTATTCACCTGTAGGTTAAATGCTTCAACCAGTCCTTTACGAAGTATAAGTACTGCAACAGTGCTGTCCCAATCCACATGCATTGATGATTTTACAAGTGGTGCCTTGACTGTAACTGCAGTCAAGGAGCTATTGAACAAGACAAAGGTTAGTCCCTATTTGTAATCAATGTAGTCTGTATAGATTTAATAACATATATTACATTACATAAGAAATAGTAACAAAGGAATCTATATACAATTGCAGAATGGTGAATTTTATGTACCTGCTGAAATTGTTGCAATTGACGGTTCTTTTGGATGGATGTACATATCTTGCATGTCCCCGGGATGTAACAGGAAACTTTTTAATGATGGGACTGATCTTGAATGTACAAGTTGTGATAAGAAATACAAACAGGGTATGGCCAGGTATCGTGTAAGAGTGATTGTCCTAGATAAAGGTCTTGGAGACGCTCCGTTCCTATTATGGGATAGGGAGTGTTCTGAATTGGTTGGTATCCCGGCACACATTCTGTACACAAAGTATAATAAGGTAAAAAACTGTCGCTTAATTGACACATCCATATAGACCTTTTTTTAGTTTCTTTTTTTAATATTATATTTTCTTAATGTTAGGTTTGTGACATCCCAAAAGAGTTGGAATCATTAGTCGGAATGAGAATGGTATTCAAGATATCATTAAAATTGGAGTACATGAAGGGATCTAATGCAGCATACACTGTTATGAAAGTTCTAAGGGATGAAGCCTTGGTGTCAGCATACTGTTCTAAACTCATTGAAGAACAAGACAAGGACTTGATATCAAGAATGATAGATGAGGACGAGGAGGAAGAAGATGAGTCTGATCAGGTTTTGTTTTCTATTCTACTAAAGTCAAATAACTAATCTCATTTCTTAACTTACTTTGACATATTTTACATTTAAGCTTATTTTAATATACAGGAAGCTTCAAATGGAGGGAATGAGGTCAACAGCCCATTACCTATGCAACAGTCTCAAAGCCTAGACCATGAAACTTTAGAGGCTGATGGTGTTAAGCGATCTCTTATGGACCAATTCTCCTCCTCTTGCAAGAAGGGCAAAACAGTTGCTGTTAAGCAAGAGAAGATTTAAGAGATCCTTTAAATGACAAACTGTTACCACATTTTTGTGGTTGTTCCTATTTTGAAGACAAACATTTGGCCAGTTTAATTGCACCAGTGTGCCCTGAACAATTTACTTTTAATTTGAATCTATGTTTGGACTGTTTGGAACTGTTATATTTACCTATACCTAGGACTTATCCTAAACACTTCTAATTATCTGTTTATTACCCTATACTGTTCTATATATTAAACTGTATGCAGGACAAGTAACCAAGGAAGAAAACACAAGTCACCAAGAAGAAAGCACAAGTCACCAAGGAAGAAAACACAAGTCACCAAGGAAGAAAACACAAGTCACCAAGGAAGAAAACTGTAGACAACAAGGCAGAAAACACAAGTCACCCAAACACTCATGTGATTTAATTAGGGTTCTATGTAGTGTAATTAGGACTCTATGTAATGTAATTAGGACTGTATGTAATTACAATGCTAAATATGCAGATTTAGCTTTCAATATTGACAATCAGTTATAAAAAAGAGCCCTGCAAGCACTGTTAGTATATCAAGCAGTCATTTAGGCATCAAAAAAGTATAAGCAAACAGTCTTAATTTATGGGAGTATTCTGCATCTTTAAATAAAGATTGTTGTTAAAACACCCATGTCTATTTTAAAACACTTAAAAAATGTGGTAAAACACTTAGGACATTTTGTTAACACAGTAACACCTCACATAGATAATAAAACACTTCCTGACTTAAAGACCACAATTAAGCTGCTATGATAATAACAGATTTTCATAAAAAACATCATTTGACATACTCTAATTCAAAATGGACTAATTTGAACTGTGTGCACAATTTTGGTGATAAAAGTTCCACATATATAGGTTAAGTTCAAATTGTGCACTGGAAATTTGTATCCAGTGGAGTTTTGAAAATACAGTAACCAAAAATAAATGATTTTTTAAGAATAATGTGATAAGTATAATTTAGTTTACATTATTGTAACTACATTTAAAATAGAACTATGTTTAATCTACAAATTAGAGGTGAATTAAAGAAAAAAAAATATTCAAGTGTATTGAAAAATCATAAACAGGGATATTTAAAATTTGGTTGAGACTGAGGAATTGCTTACATTAAAAAATGAAACTGCTGCTGTAAAAGTACATAATTACGTATAATGCCTATTTATAATGAACCCTAAATACACCATGTAGGAATAAAATTGTTTGCAATACACTACATATGTAATTGAATATTGAATAAATTACTCTATTTTAAACTTAGAACACAAAAGCTAAGTTTAAGGACAAAGAACTACTCATGTTTCGATCAGTAATCACCAATCATGTTCAGGTAATTCTCCTCAACCAATTCAAAAAATCTGTAAACAATTCGATGAAAAATGTAACTTCATCAATTGTGAACACATAAAAACAAAAATTCTGTCACAAAATAGAATAAACAAATAACAAATAAAACAAACTTAGTCCTAAAAAAAATGATGCTTGGATGAAACATTGGCAGAGAATATGGATGAAACAAATAGCCCTTTATTTACTATACTCTTTAATCCTGTAAGTTGTTACCACATTGGCAGAGAATAAACGAAATGGCTATTTGTTAAACTAAGAGCCATGTAAAGTTTTAGACTGAAAAGCCACTAAGTTGTAGTTGAAATGGATTGGCATCAGAAGTGTTAATTCATCATTTGCCACACACTTAAAAAAACTGTTAGTCACAATTTATATAGAAAAATAAACACAAACTTAAAGCCAAGGGGAACATGTATATTAAATTCTATAAAAACTACTTTCATTTGTTGGTTTATTGGGGAACATGTATATTAAATTCTATAAAAACTACTTTCATTTGTTGGTTTCCAATAAAAAATGAAGAGTCATATCATTGCTTTTAATCATTCCTATTAAAGTGCAATCTTAAAGGCAATAAACCATATAACACCATAACCTATTTGAATCCAAGTATTTGTATTGGAAACCAAATACCAACAACAGAGTGGAACATACAAAATATCAACTCAAACATGAGGAAAATAGTGAAGTCTACAATAATTGGAAGCAAAAGGAAGCACATGATCGACAATAAAGGTACCATAAACACATATTCAAACTGTAGTTTATACTTTACCTGACTGTCTCAGTTAATTGCATAAATATCCCTGTTTTTTTACCAAATCTTAGAGATTCAAGAATGCTTAGCTTCCAACCTTTGTAGTTTAGATATACAAAGAAAACCTGCAAATCTGCCATTTCAGCAGCGCAATGTTGTTAGTATATAATCTGAAACACATACTTGGTAGCAAATAATCCACTAAATCACTTATCTTTCATTGGATTGCGAAAAAATATACTGTAATTTCCATCTATGTCCATGAACTGTGTACGGTGTCTACAGTGTTCTATATCTACAATTACTAAACAAAATTAGCTTTAATCTATAATCAAATACGAAATAAATTAGGGTGTTAAAGCTTACAGACCTTAGATCGGATATAGTGGAATAGGTATGCCGTGAAGATCTAGATCATCGATCACCGTTGTAACCTTCAAAAAACTGCCATCCGACTATAAAAACGCAGATCGGAGAATACTACCATAGATCCTCTCACAACCACACCGCGGATCTGTAATTTGTGTTTCATTACTGTGGGTAATCTACTCTTAGCTTAGATGAACAGTTCCAGTCATTTTGAGATCTTCTACGAATTAACGAAGATCTACAAACTGGAATGGCAGACTCTTGGCTTGGAGTATCGGAATTGCGATGGGTTTGTCTGAACATTGTGAGAGATAAGGGTGGGTAGTGTTCTCTAGATGCTAGCTCTAAGAAGGTTGCGGAGATGAGGGTTCAAGAAATGCCACCTAAGTGTAGAATACCCGATTTGGAAGTGAAGTTATGCAAACATATAGTGGGCCGAGTTTGGGCTTTTAATTTCTAATTGTTAAAATAAGCCTGGTATGATCTGTTGTGGTAGAATGGGCTTTTATTTTTTGGATAGCAATGGGTTTGGTCTGAAATAGTTAGAAGTTAAGGTATGCAAAAATTATTTTCCATGTTTAGTTTGTGGGTAGTGGTCCACAATATTGTGTGAATCATTGGTCCATGATGGTCTATTTTAAATTTGTGCACAATATGTTCAATTTTTTGTTATTTCTGTACTTAAGTTATATTATTTTTGGACATTATAATAAGAGATACTTTATTATGTCCCTTGAATCTTTTTAATGCAGAAAATGATGAGAATTCGCCTGTTATAAGCACTCACAACCGTATGGTGAAAAAAACTGCCACAAACTTAGCCACAAACTTAACACCACAACAAACAGGTACTTCAAATGCGACACCAAGAAGTTGTCTAACAACAGGTAAACGCTTTACACTTCTTGGATTTATATATCTGTATATCCTTCGGTATAATACACTATATAGAAATGTTTGTTGAACCTCCGAATTATTTTGTTGCAGTTAATCAAGATAATTTTAATATATGTATGAGTAGTTGTCACATGGAGTATACAAAAGCTAATAGCAACTCCAGACATTTTGTATTAGGCGGCAAATCTCCATATTTATCAAGTACAACAACACCTACATTGACCGGTTAGTTAATCTTGTGCATATAAATTATATGTTATTTGTTTGGTATCAAAACTCTAATATCATTATTGACAAAACGATATACATTTAATTTGTCATAAAAGGTACAGTAACTAGGTCGGAGGTCAGACGGTCACCTCTACAGGATGTATTAAACGGTATGTATTTTCCCGTTTGTTTTAACTTTGTAATATTAATTTTTAGGTGGCAGGACTCTTACTTATACTTTAAATAAATTAGGTACAAGACAATGCAACAAGAGGTCATTCATGAATGATGGAAAAGACCATAGTCAAGATAATGAGGTCAATCGCGATTTGTTTCAAGATTTTGAAGAAGTATGCACTACTAATCGCATAACTCCGGTGCAAGAGGAATATAGTTGTGGTAAGTTCAATATCCACTAACATGTGAAAAATATGTGCTTTACAATCTTAAGAGGCCATTGTATGTAGTTAGTTGTTTAACTACAGTTAGTTTTTTATTCTTATTTTAGAAGGATTGGTTGGAATTGAGCAGCAAACTATACAACATATTCCTAATGGTAATTGATTTATTATTACCTAGCTTCTGTCAATTAAAAATTTATTCAGTTGTACATTATTATTTAACTAACTAATGTATCCATGTAGTTGAATACAAAGATCTTGGGGATGCAAGTAACACCTGTCAACATTGTGGAGCTCTATTTTGGTACGACGAGCGGATCAACAAAACAGTTGTTTACGGCATGCCAAAATATTCAATGTGTTGCAACAGTGGTAAGATCAAATTGCCACCAACCATGAGGCCACCGAATGCAATTTACAATTTGTTTTTTGGAGAAGGAGAAAAAAACAAGCAATTCCTACAAAATATTAGAACATACAATAGCATGTTTTGCTTCACGTCCATGGGTGGTAAGATAGATCGGGGCGTGAACAAGAATGGTGGTCCACCTGTTTTCCGGATCAATGGCCAGAACTTCCATTACATTGGTAGTCTCCTGCCGGTAGACGGGAAAAGACCACATTTTGCACAGTTGTATATATATGATACTAATAATGAACTGAGTAATTGTATCAATTCTGTGAGGTACGTCCCTGTTATTTACTTCTAAATATAAGTTCTACAATATTTGTATCCAAATGAGTTTTTAGCAACTTCTAATATTTTTTGTCGTATGCTAGGCAAGATGGTGACCAAAATGGCATCCATGTTGAGATTGTGAATGATATCCAACAAGTTTTGGATACCAGTAATGTATTAGTCAAGTCATTCCTCATGGCACGATCTGAGCTGCAAAAGAATCCGCTTGCTGAGGTAAAAATTAAATTGCTAGGGAAGAGGTCAAAGGATGCAAGAACATACAATTTGCCGCAGGTTTCGGAAGTTGCAGCCTTAATTGTGGGTGACATTGATACAAATATTGGAGAACGTGACATTATGGTCGAAACCAAGAGCGGCCTATTGCAACGAATTAGTGAGTTGAATCCAGCATACCTCCCAATGCAATACCCTTTACTCTTTCCGTATGGTGAGGACGGATACAGGGAAGACATTCCCTTCTCTACATTAAAAGGAAACACAAGTGCTGGCCGTCAAAGGATAAGTCCTCGAGAATATTTTGCATACCGTATACAGTCAAGGTTATCTGAGGTATCTACTTTATTGCATTCAAAGAGGTTATTCCAACAATTTTTGGTAGATGCCTATACAATGGTTGAGTCAGGAAGGTTAATCTATATAAGGACACACCAAAAAAGTTTGAGGTGTGAATCGTATAATTGCTTGAATGATGCATTAACACGCGGTGAAGTTGACCCCACTACTCAAGGAAAGAGGATAATATTGCCTTCAAGTTTTACAGGGGGTGCTAGATACATGATTCAAAATTATCAGGACGCTATGGCTATATGTAGATTGGTTGGATATCCAGATCTGTTTATCACATTCACCTGCAACCCCAAGTGGCCCGAGGTACAACGCTTCTTGAAGGATCGAAAGTTAAAAGCTGAAGATCGTCCTGACATAATATGTAGATTATTCAAAATGAAATTGGATGCTCTAATCTCAGATTGTCGGAAGAACAAGTTATTTGGGCCAGTGATGGGAGGTACGTAAATTACATGCCACTATTTAATTAAAACAGTTCATATAGATAAATGTTAGAATTTTTTTGCCATTCGTAATGTTTCTTTTTTTTTTTTTTTTTTTTTTTACCAGTTATATATACCATAGAGTTTCAAAAAAGAGGTTTGCCGCATGCTCATATCCTGTTGTTTCTTGATAAAGTCAATGGACATCATAATGTTGACAATTTGGACAACATTATTTCCGCTGAGCTGCCTGATCAAGAAGCTGACGCAGAATACTTCAAAGCAGTTGAGGAGTTTATGATGTATGGACCTTGTGGGAAAGCCAGATTCAGTTCTCCCTGTATGGCAAATGGTAAATGTACTAAACATTTTCCCAAAAAGTTTGTTAATTGCTCAACTTTTGATGAGGATGGCTATCCTATATATCGGAGAAGAGACAATGGTCGTTCTGTGACGCGCAATGGGATTGACTTGGATAATAGGTACGTGGTACCACACAATAGGCATTTGTTGTTAAAGTATAGGGCTCATATTAATGTTGAATGGTGTAATCAGTCCCGTTCAATCAAATACCTATTCAAGTACGTGAACAGGGGTCATGACAGGGTAACAACAGAGTTTTACAGAACCAGCAATGATCAAGATGGTGCACAAGTTCTGGATGAAATTAGTATGTACTATGATTGTAGGTACATATCTCCGTGTGAAGCATCATGGCGGTTGTTCGGTTTTGATATACAGTTTAGGACACCATCAGTGGAACGATTAAGCTTTCACTTGCCGAACCAACAAAGTGTTGTTTTCGCAGATGATGACCCCGTTGATAACATACTCAGTCGGCCAACAATCTTGCAAAGCATGTTCCTAGAATGGTTCGAGGCAAATAAAAACTTCCCAGAAGCAAGAAAGTTGACATATGCTGAAATGCCAACAAAGTTTGTGTGGAAGAAAGATATTCGAAAATGGCAGCCTAGAAAAAGAGGATTCTCTATCGGTAGAGTTTTCTATGTGCCTCCTGGATCAGGGGAAATCTTTTATTTAAGGTGTCTGTTGAATAAGGTCAAAGGTCCAACAAGTTATTTAGATATAAAAACAGTGGATGGTGTCCAATATGATTCTTTTAGGGATGCGTGTTGTGCAAGAGGATTAGTAGATGACGACAGGGAGTATGTTTATGCTATAGAAGAAGCAAGTCATTGGGCCACAGCTGTGAATCTTAGAAGATTATTTGTCACTCTCTTGATGACTAACTCAATAGCAAAACCAGAGGTGGTTTGGGAGGCTGCGTGGATTCATTTGTCAGATGATGCACAATTCAAGATTAGTGAACAATTGGGAAAGCCAGGTATTAAATTATTCCATTCTTACTCTTATAGTTCTATTTTACAACAAAAGTTTTACACGTAGTGTAAATAATATTGTCACAGATTGGATTATATCTGAAGATGAGAAGAAGAATTTTGCACTTACGGAGATTGAAATAATGCTTTCAGCTATGGGAAAAAGTTTGAAAGACTTTCCGGGGATGCCGATAGCCGATTTAGTTAATCACTGCAGAACAATCAATCGGTTGATACAGGAGGAATTGGCATATGATGCTACTGCAATGAAGGAAGAGAATGATGCTTTGGTGGATAAACTAACTGAAGAGCAAAGAACAATATATGACAATGTTTTGAAAGATGCTGAGAATAATCTTGGAGGACTATTTTTTGTTTATGGATATGGAGGAACGGGTAAAACATTCTTGTGGAGAGCATTATCTTCTGCTATAAGGTCAAAGGGTGAGATAGTACTGAATGTTGCATCAAGTGGCATAGCTTCCCTTCTATTACCAGGTGGTAGGACTGCACATTCAAGGTTTGCCATTCCGATCGCTGTTAATGAAGATTCAACCTGCAATATCAGCCAAAACAGTCCTTTGGCACACTTGATCGTGCAAAGCAGGTTGATCATTTGGGATGAGGCTCCAATGATGCATAAATTCTGTTTTGAAGCGTTGGACCGATCTATGAGAGATATAATGCGTGTCAAAAATCATAACAGCTTCGATATGCCTTTTGGTGGAAAAACAGTGGTGTTAGGTGGAGATTTCAGACAAATTCTACCAGTCATTCCAAAGGGCACCAGACAAGATATTGTGCGAGCAACTATAAATTCATCCTATCTTTGGAGAAGCTGTAAAGTTTTTAGGTTAACAAAAAATCTAAGGCTTAGATCTTTGAGATCAGATAGTGAAGTTCAAGAGATTGCTGATTTTGCAAAGTGGATTGCTAATATAGGTGATGGAACCATTGGTGATTCAATGGATGGAGAATCTGAGATACAGATTCCCGATCAATTTTTGCTCAGTTGTGGAGATGATCCTATTGCTACAATTGTTGATAGTACTTTCCCTATGTTTCGCAGTGGCCACAGAGATAATGAGTACCTAAAAGATCGTGCCATACTTGCACCTACTTTGGATGTTGTAGATACAGTCAACGAATACATGAATGACTATAACAATGCTGAAGGAAGGACCTATATCAGTTGTGACTCCGTATGCAAATCTGATTCTAATGTTGACATGCTGGCGGACCTGCACACACCGGAGTTTTTAAATGGATTACGATGTTCGGGAGTTCCAAATCACTCATTGACTCTCAAAGTTGGCTCGCCAGTGATGCTGTTAAGAAATATTGATCACTCACTGGGGTTGTGCAATGGGACAAGGATGATTATTTCAAAGTTAGCGGATCATGTTTTAGAAGCTAAAATACTCTCTGGATCAAGTGCTGGTACGAAGGTCTTAATTCCAAGGATGTCCTTAACACCTTCGGATCCAAGATTGCCTTTTAAATTCCAAAGAAAGCAATTTCCGCTAATGTTGTCATATGCCATGACAATAAATAAAAGCCAGGGCCAAACACTATCTAATGTGGGTTTGTTTTTGAAGAGGCCGGTTTTTAATCATGGTCAAATGTACGTAGCATTGTCAAGAGTTAGTAATCCTAACGGATTAAAAATACTTATCTCAGACGAAAATGTACAATAAAAAAATACGACTACAAATGTCGTATATAAAGAAGTATTCAATAATGTTTAATACATACTATATGTTTTGCAGAAGTATATATATATTTTTTAAGGAATTAATTTATATTAGATGTTTTACATATATTGCCGTGCAACGCACGGGTGGAACTACTAGTAATAATAATAATAATAGTTTTATTACCTTAAATAAATAAATTATTATACTTTCCTTTTGAATTAGTATTTTCTACCTATAAATACAATGGCTTCTTCAATCAAAGAATCTCAGACTCATCTCTCTGCTTTCTTTTTGTATGAATTTTTTACATTTTTCTAACTATATTCTCACGTACTTCAATATGTTTTGCAGTTTATGAACCATATTGGTTTAGGTTTTATGGAAGATTGTAGAGATGAGATCGAGGATGATAAAGACGGTAATTTTGATGATTTTGTAAGATTTTCTGAAACTTAGAGTTAGTATGCTAATTTCGAGATTTGTACATGCCATTCAAGTTTCTATGTTTTTTTTAACAAGCATAGTTCATTTTACAGCATTTTTTTATAATTAATATATATATATATATATATATATATATATATATATATATATATAAATAAATAAATAAATAAATATATATATATATATATATATATATCTTCGTAGTATAATATAATATAATAATAATAATAATGTTATTAACTTAAATAAATAAATAAATTATTATTCTTTCCTTTTAAATTAGTATTTTCTACCTATAAATATAAATTAGTATTTTCTACCTTAAATAAATAAATTATTTTGCTTAATTTATATTATATTCTTTAAGCTACAATTTTGACATGATATCTTCGTAGCCCATTTTATTATATTGAGCCTTGGTACACAAGTCCAAATCAAATATATGTATGTACACGCATAACAATAATCCTAATCTATAAATTTTTCCTCAAAACTTAGAGGCATTTATGTAATATCATCCATTATTTATATATAGATATTATTATATGCCATTATATTCAAATCAAATTATAGTAATTTTATATTCATCTCCATTTATATTAGATATATTCCTATTTCTGTGTATTATAGGACTTAATATATTAGGCATAATCAGACTCAAATCAAATCAAATTATAGTAATTTTATATTCATCTCCATTTACATCCTAATAGTATTCCACTATTCATATTTTCGTGTATTATAGGACTTCAATATATTAGGCATAATTAGACATGCCTAATTTAAATTGTGGGGACAACTCAAAAGAGTGCGGATCGTAAATATATGTGTATTAATTTTTTTTTTTCATGTTTATATTCACTACCATTATATTTTTAAGATTCATATATATATATATATATATATATATATATATATATATATATATATATATATATATATATATACTGTATTTTTTTTCCTGAATAATTTTAGGCTTAGTTTGTTGATGTGAATAACATTGTTGACATTGTTCAATCTCTGTGAATAAGGATTATTCCTTTGTTGTGTAGTACCATACAGAATTTACTATACAATCATGTAAATGAAAATTAAAAGTTTCATATTTAGTTCTTATTAATATACATGCAATTGCATATATTGAAAAAGTAGTATATAAATTTAATAAAGTATATTTTATTGGTAGTTTTATTTTTTAAAAAATGCAATATTTTGCAACTATTTCAGGTAAGCACTTTAGCAAGTTGTTTGTATATTATATTTATTAATTACTTTATTTTTTTTTATTTTGTGAATATATTTCATGCATGAAAATTGAATTGTAGATGTATCATATCCAATTATTTATCATAATATTCTTTTTTATTTTATTGTGATGAAGATTGTATTTATGAGTTTAGACATGGGATGAATTTACAACTATCATATTCTTTTTAATTTAATTGTGATGAAGATTATACAGATGAGTCATGAGTTTAGACATTGGACAAATTAACATGGATGTTAGTAAAGGATGTGGCAACACCTAACTTGCACAATTAATATATAGATTAATTAGTCTTGGTGTAATCAGAATTACTGATAAATGAGAATACATATTTTCTTTTATTGTTTACTAAGATGTTTGTAATACAGTGTATTAAAAGTTTATTATTTTAGCTAATTACCCATTTTAAATATCAAATCTTATTTAATTGATTGTATGTTTTTAGAAATCAATAAAATAATAGTATTTTTTTTTCAATCGTAATATCACAATGTTTCCTATATAGTTATTACACAACAAAACTTTAAAATGAATAAAGGTTACATATCGTATTTACACATGAAACTTATTTACAATAATAGTTGTTAGTATCATAAAATCACTTCAACATAGAAATATTAAAAAAAATTGTTATTAATAATTAACTAATTAATATGTATTTAAAAGAATCATTGACTGAGAATAAAAATGGAATTAAAAGTAGATCAATTTGAAAAGGAAATGATAATTAATACTTGATTAAAATTGACACAGAATATATTACTGGAAATAAAAATATATATAAATATGTTATTAATAATTAACTAATTAATATGTATTAAAAAATCATTGACTGAGAATAAAAATGGCATGCAAATTAGACCAATTGAAAAAGAAAACGATAATTAATATTTGATTAAAAATGGCATAAAATATATAAATTCTAAATATATATCGACAATTATATTAATAATTATAGTATAAATTAATTGATATGTACCAAGACTATGTGGTCTAATGGTATCTAGGTTGGACTTTTATTTGGAAGGTTGTAAGTTCGAGCCTTAATGGAGGCCGGTGTTATTGGTATTGACACGAAATATACAAATTATGATATATTTTTTAAAAAAGATCTCCAAATTAACAATGTCGAAAATGAAACGGATTAACAATAGTATATATAAATTGGAATGACATGAAAATTAGGCCAATTGAAAAAGGAAATGAGATTACAATATATTACTGGAAATAAAGAAATATGTTATTAATAAATAACTAATTAATATGCAATAAAAAAGAATCATTGATTGAAAATAAAAATGGAATGAAAATTACTCCAATTAGAAAATAAAATAATAATTAATATTTGATTGAAAATGACATGAAATATATAAATTCAAAATATATATCGACAATTATATTAATATTTATAGTATAAACTAATTGATATGTATTAAAACAATATATTTGACTAAGAATAGAAATGACATGAAAATTAGCACAATTGGAAAATGTAATGATTATTAATACTCAATTAAAAATTAAAAATAATTTCAAATTAACTCAAATGAAAAAAGAAAAATGGCTAGACAGCCCAAACAATAGTATAGGTAAATTGAAAAAATAATTTATTGTGATTAAAAATGCCACAAAATACATAAATTATGGTATAATATATATTTAAGAAAAAAAAAAACGATCCCCATATTAACTATGTAGGAAAGGAAACGGATTAACTATTGTATATGTAAATTGGAAAAAAGTATCTGTTATTAATAATTTACTGTAAATAAAAAACATTATATTAATAATTATCTAATATAATTAATATATATTAAAAAGAATTATTCGTTGGTAATAAAAATGACATGAAAATTATGCTAATTAAAAAACAAAATGATAATTAATACTTGATTAAAATAGATCAAAATGTATTACTGAAAATAAAGAA